CTCTCTCTCTCTCTCTCTCTCTCTCTCTCTCTCTCTCTCTCTCTCTCTCTCTCTCCCTCTCTCTCTCCTTTTGAATGATTCTCGTCCCCATATGCACAGGCCGAACAACGGGAAACAACCACAACCAGGATGCCAAGATAAAAAAGAACCCGGATGACTAGTCCCACACGAAAGCACTGCTACGCATTCCAAAAAAAAAATGGACCGAACAACAACAGGACAAAACGAACTGGGACGCAGACAAAGTTACCAGAACAAATTCAAACAAACATAAACAGATCCTAGATGACAAGTCCCACATGCAAGCACCCCCCAGCCCCCCCCCGGCCCCCATCCTCTCTTCGTCACAGGCCAAACAAACAACGGGACAAGACCAACGAGGATATCCTCTAAAACACCCTAAGGCTTGCCTGCAAACAAACAATCAATCCCAGATAACAAACCCTTCCTACTTACCAGCGACTCTGCGTCAACTCCAAGACTCCTTCGCAATAATTATTGTTATTTGTTGCAAAAACTGGTATCTTTTCAAGCGTTCTGCTGCTTCGCTGTTCTAAACTAAAATACTGGGACGCCACCAACGGCAAAAAAAATACATAGAAAACAATCCAAAAAAAAAATAAAAAAATTCAGATGACGATTCCCACAGAAAAGCACCGCCCCGGGCCCCCTCACCACAGGCCGAACAACGGGAAACAGGCAACTAGGATGCCGAAGGATTAAAAAAAACAGATGACAGGTCGCACATGAAAACCCACCGCCACGGGCACCCTACCCCGTACCCCGTAAACCGAACAAGGGGAGGAAACCAAACGGGATACAGACAAGGGTGCCAAAATTACCAAATCAAATTCTGACATAACCATGATAGTGAAAAAACGGATTCATATAGTAGGTCCGCAAAACGAAATACCCCAACAAATACCTTTCTCAGCCTTTTGGGTAAAAATAGATAAAGTGACATGTATCTGTTCTGATCAGTTTAATATCTGATCCATGGTCCATAGGACCACACCATATTAAATTAATTTTTCTTGGCTATTGAGGGGTCATACGGGAGAGCTTGCTTGCTCGACCCCTCCAGCGTTGCCTCTGTATTGCACTGCAGCAGAGTGGGGCGCAGCCCTAAAAAAACAAAAAAAAAAAGAAATATCCCAAAAATGGGGAAGAGCAAAGCAAAAAAGAGAGAAAAAGAATTAGAAAGGATATATTCTACCATGACATATACATATATACTGTGCTTTCACGTGGGACCAGTCATTCGGGTTTTTGGCATCCTGGTTGGTTGTTTCCCGTTGTTCGGCCCGTTGAGAAGCGGGGCGGTGCTTGTATGTGGGAATCGTCATCCGGGATTGTCTTCTCTCTTTTTTTTCTTGGTTGTCACATTGTGGATCGTCGCTTTTTTATGTCTTGTCCTGGGTGGTCTTGTCCCGTTGTTTGGCCTTTGACGGAGCTGGCGGTGCTTACATGTGGGACTTGTCATCTGGGATCTGTTTTGTTGCCCCCTGTTCTGTTGTATTTGGCTGTTCCCTTCCTCTTTTCTTTGTCGTCTTTGCCCTTTGGCTGTGTGCAAGTGGGTCGATATGACACACGGGGGTGGGGGCAGCCGCCGCTCAACCTACATCCACGTGGGCGACCTTGCACGCAAGAGGTTCTGAACAGGGGGAGTTGTAAGGAAGAAGATTAAAAACGAATTTAAGATTTTTTTGTTTTTCTTGGTTTTTTCGCTTAGGCGCTCTGATATCATGTGACAATATATACACACTTGGTAGTCTCAGGAATAGCGGGGCATTATGCACCTGCAGGGCGCTTGTCCTGACCACGAGGGCGTTGTGTCTCGCGTAATCTCGGTCGGTACTGTTTCTACAAATTGCCAACGGTAAAAAAAAATAAATTACTATCACCTTATTGCGGTCGTGATCATCATCACTAGAAATGTTGCCGATGATCACTAGAAATGTTGCCGATGATCACTAGAAATGTTGCCGTCAGTGTACTAGGACGGAGGCATGACTTCCGAGTTCATCTTCTGTCCCTATCACGCTTACTCAGACTACCTTTCGTTCTGGGTGCATCTGAGCGCAACCATGGGCCAGATTCAGACAGGACTCAGACAGCAAAACTCCAAAGTCTGAGTCAAGCACTATCAAGGGTTTGGAATGTGCTCCGAAGTCTGAATCTGACACTTTGTTGCGCTCAGATGCATCCAGTCCGTGCCGCATGAATACCACGGTCGTTCTGTACAAAAGTACTAAGGACCTAGTACTTGTACTTGCACTACTGCCCCCATCCTCCAAGATCATTCTGAATGCACCTGGACAGACTGATGTCCAGATGCATGCATTCAAAATGTTGGAGGCGGATGGGGTGGACCGCAACCTGGCCCTAAGTCACGTCTCTTCTCTATAGAGTATATAGTTGACATCATCAAATTTAGCGCCAGGCAATGAGCAAATGATATCATCCTCATCCGCATCTGGTAATGAGCAGTGACCACGTTCAGATCTTTACGCCGCGAACGCAGGGAGCTCACACGCTCCTGCGTCAGTGCTCTGCATCTAGACACTTGCAAGACTCGCAGCTTGTCCATTTTTTGCCCTATCAGATCCAAGCTGGCGTCTGTTATTTTCGCATGCCACAACTCCAGAATTTCCAAATTAGGAAAGTTGTCTGCGATGACTCTGACGTCATCATCAGAGATGCTGACGTCCATAAAAAGCAACGATCGCAAGGATGGGAGCCGCTGCCCGAGGCGAGCCAAATCGACGGCTGTGATTTGCAGAAAAATGAAGCCGAGGACCTCCAATTGCGCAGCATGATCTGCAATTACGGTGCTCAGTACCTGGTCAGCTTTTCCACCGAATCCACTGCCGCCCAGACTGAGCGACACCAGGTGAGGGAGGCCTGTCACTACGACTCTGGCGAAGTCGGACAGGTCAGTGTCAGAGCGTGGCGCGCAATGAGTATCGATTCCGAAACACATGAGAGAGCGAACGCGAGGACATCCACGAACAAAGGCCTCAACGGAACGAATCCACTCCGCTTGAAAGTGGAAGGACACGATGTGCAATCGCCGTAGAAGTGGACACGTGTCTCCAATCTTCTGCAGCAAAGCATTGTCGCAATCAGCAAGAGTCAGATCGAGCAGTCGGCCTCTGCTGCGCAAAAGCACCTCTTCCATGCATTGCTTAACCTTAGGCCACGAGACCAGCATCACCTCTGCTTCTGTCCAAGACTCAGGAGCAGCCGAAACACGCCGCCAGCTCTTGCACACGCTGCCGACACGAAATCGCTCTCGGATTGGAAGGACGCTGAAGATGTGGGCAAGCACCTCGCCCACCATTGTCGACCAATCGCGCCAAGCATCGACTGCCGCACCATCGACTGCCGCACCATCGACAGCCGCACGATCGGCAACTCTGATGTCACCCTGGACGTCGAGATCCTCTCTCCTCAGACCGGAATGATGATGATGGGACTCATTGGCTCCGTGATCATGACGCGAGTCTGCGACATCCGCACCATGAACCGGATCATCCACAGAAGATGAGCCTGCAGAAGCACCAACGACAGCATCAAGATCGGCACGAGAAAGATGATGATGATGATCTGTCTCTCCATGGAGATCCTCCATTGATTGCAGATGTACTGTAAGTCACAGATTCTGATAAGCTCCTGGGTCCATCGTAAACAAGATCGTCAAGAACACAATCATCAACATCGTAAGTATTTCCACAACAAGATCTTATCAATCAATGTGCAGTTCCTCTCTCTCTCTCTCTCTCTCTCTCTCTCTCTCTCTCTCTCTCTCTCTCTCTCTCTCTCTCTGTGTGTGTGTGTGTGTCAAGAACGTGAGTATTTCCACAGGATCTTAAAGTTCCTCTCTCTCTCTCTCT